CTCTGTGTGTGTGTGTGTGTGTGTGTGTGTATGACTTTCAAATATATTCTTCAGGTTTGTGATTTGTCTTTTCAATACTCTCAGTGATATTTTTTGATGCAGAGAAGATTTCATTTATATGACTCCAAGTAATGAAATTCAGCTTAACTGCTTCTTTTTTTGAGAGTAAACAGAAAAACAGATTTTAAATTCATTAAGAAATGAATTTTTTCACACCATTATCAACATCTTATATTTATAAGTATTACCTTTCCTTCTCAGTTCATTTTAAAAGATCATTTGTAAGTGGTAAGAGTTTTGCCAGTAGTTTTCTTACCAGCCCTTGATAAAAAAAAAAATGAAAAAGCACAACCAAACAAAGAAACAACACACCCTGCCACTTTTCCATGGATTGTTTTTGATACTTGTTAAATATCATCAAATTGTATTTTTATATTCTCTATAACTTTAGCAGTCTCACACAAGATATAACAAAGCTTCAAAATAATAAAATCCAACATAAAACATTAAGAATTATTCAATGCCAATATATAATTTATTATTGAAGGGACCAGCTCCCCATTTCGGAAGCCATAACTGCCTAACATGTACTTGCCTGAACTTGCCTTGGTCACCAGGAGGTCAGATGTCTGCCTTGTGGCAAGGAACCAATCAGAAGTTAGCTGGTGGTGCTATGCTTTACAGCTTTGGGTGTGCTTTAAGGACAAGTGCACAGCAAAGATGTGCAGAGCATAGCAATCACCCTGGATGGGCCTATGGGCCGTAACAACCAGTTGGCCAATCAACACAGGGCAAGTCCTCCAAGCCTGGATGTAATGTGGGAAAATTACCAATATGGAGCCAGGTAAAAAATACAAGGGAATCTAATAGGGAAAATCCTTACTTACAGAGCAACCTAGCCAGCCGGCAGGGCAGCAGTCCTTAGAGCAAGCCAAAGATGAAACCAAGAGCAGAGCTGCCTCACTCTTAAACTTTCCCTACTTCACCCTGACCACACCCTCAAAGGCATGGTCAGGCACACAGCCAGCCCCTAAGCAGGCATGGCTATAGCATCCCCTACAATTCCCCTGCTAGTCTAAAAGAGGATTAAAACTTAACAGTGTAAAGTATCCAAAATTAACAATCATAAAGGTGAAATATAAGAAGATACAACCATCTGCTTATGTCACATCCTAACTATCTATTTTAACTAAACCCTCAAGTCCAAAAAACTTCTTCCAATCCCAACCATAAACAATAGGAAGCTATCCCTAACTAGGTATATACACTATCCTAAGTGACAACAATGGGGGAAAGGGAGTGTAGCATCCTCCAAGTTACTTCCTGCTGAAATGAGACGATACAGCCTTGCAGACTACAAAAACAGAATGGTGTCATTGAGCGGGATGACACCATGCCCTGAGGTTCCCAGAGAAAGAGGGAAACCTGTTACCACAATCTGCCCTGTCAGTCAGGCCGCTGAGAGGCATCGGAACAGCTTCCCTATGCTCTCACTGTCCCTGTGCTCTTGGGGGTTGGACTCAGTACTCCAGAGACAGCCTGCAGCCCTGGAGAGTTCTAGGGTTAGGATTCTGAGCTCTCACTGCCACAAGCTGCCTTCCAGAGACTAGTCAAACAGTGGCAGAACCGGGGCAGCTGGAGGTAGTATTACGAACTTCCATGTAAACTTCACAAAAGTTTAAAAAGGGATTTTAGCAGCAAAAGATCAGAGACAAGCTTGACTCATTGTGAGCAGCATTTTCTTGGGTGGTCTCTGTTTTGCTAGAGACAAGCAGAAACTTGAATGCTTTAAGAAAGATTTCCTGACTCAGCAAAAGCGGAAAAAACTCTTTTTAAGAGGCCCCGCTAGCTCAGTTGGCAGAGCATGAGACTTTTGATGTGGGTTCGTGCCCAATGCAGCTGGCAGTGGCAGTGACCACATCTCCAAGGCGGCGTCATGCTCCTTGAAAGACAGCGGCTAAGAAAGCCACCACTTTAATTTTGGTGGTGTTGTTTAACAGTTAAAAGACTGGTGGCCAGAAAAAGGTAAAGATTGACAGTAAAGACAGATCCAGATATAGAAAAACCTCTAAAGGTTTGCACTATGTTTAAAAATATATGTAGGCTTGTGAGAGAAAAAGTAATAGGAGGAAATAGAGTAGCTGGGTGTGGGGGCACACACCTTTAATCCCAGCACTCCAGAAGCAGAGGCAGGCGGGCTTCCACAAAGAAACCCTGTCTCAGGAAAAAAGAAAGAAAAGGAAGTAAAAGTAGAATAATAGAAAAACCACCTAGCCCTTTCTGCCGACCGATCTGCAACTAGGTGAGTGATTCCCTGCTCTTACCCAACTCCCGTCCAAAGCGTCATTCACCCAGATCTCCCTGGGCTTGTGCCTGCTTGGAGTAGACACGCCCAGGCAGGGAGGAACTCCCTGAATCTGAGAACAGGCCACTCTACCCTCCCTTTCTGATGACCGATCTGCAACAAGGTGAGTGATCCTCTGCTCTTACCCAACTCCCTTCCAAAGCCCCATCCACCCTGATCTCCCCGGGCCTGCTTCTGCTTGGGGTAGACCTGCCCAGGCAGTGAAGAACTCTCTGAGCCTGGAAACAACCCATTCTTCCTTCCTGTCCCGCCCCCCACACCTGACCTCTATGGAGGCCTAACACCTTCAGAGTGAGGAGACTATCAGGAGAGGCAAGACCATCCAGAGCTGGGCACATTGAATTCCTGGCCCACACACACCACTGGGTAACAAGAGGAGATAGAGAGACCCCTCCTGCACTCACTGAAAGAAGATATGGGAAGAAGACAGAATAAGATCTCACTCA